TTCCCATAATCCCCGAAATGTGGTGCAGCTGGTGGAATGAATTTTCATTCAACCCTGAGAGGATGGAGATGTGACTCAATGTTATTTTGGGTTTCTTCCTGGTTGAGCTAATGATAGACATCCCTTAAATACCTATTTACCCCTACGAAGTTAGACCCATTGTCGGACAAAATTTTACTCAGTAACCCTCGACGGGAAACGCATCCGTGGTTAACTATGACAGAAGTTCAAGATGCACAGCTCGAGTACTTAACATACAATTAAACAAACATAGGCTTTATTCCTATTACTTTTATGTTTATTGGACTCCTTAGTTATAAATGAACCAGCAAATCAACTCCAACGATTACAAAGGGCCTCCCTTGCTCGAACCTCGAAGGTGGGAGGTCGGTCATAAGAGGTGGAAATTTTTCAAACGAAATCTGAAGCAAGTAACACATTTGTGAACTCTATACCGAATGATTCGTCTGGCAGCTGTTCTATATCAAAAGGGCATTTAAGAGTTGTGGACCAGCTTTGAGATAAGTTCTGTGATAATGATCTATTAATAATAATGTGAGGTGTGGCTTTTGATAAGTTGATTAATAAGTATAAGTTAAATTAATAAACATACAAAAGATAGCATACTATTAAACATATAAATTAGAGTTTTAAAAATAGTATGTGAGGCAAAAGGCAACTCGAAGTGACAAAATAACTATTCTTATATCATTAAATTAATTCAATAAAGATATAATTAGTTTCGGTAATTATCCTATAGTCAAGGTCTGCTTAGTGACTTTGATAAGATTGTAACAATGCATAACTTACTGAGTAGTTAGGTTTAGGTTATCATCTACTCGGTTGCTAACCAGCTAGTTTATGTGTTGCTATTAGTGACAATAGTTAATTATTAACATTATACAAGTACATGTATTTTAAATAAATATATTTGTTTTCATCATTGTCTTATTCATTCATATCGTTTATATCTCAAGCATATAAAGATATGCTTGAATACAACAATAATATGCACTTATGTAAATTCAAGGTATGGTTTATGAAGGTACATCTAAATCCGTTTAAGATAAAAGATAAATTTGTAATGATTACTCACTTTAATATTAATAATAATAATATTTTTTTTGGCCCTATAAATTATCAATTATAAATAAATTATAAATTATATTGGTTTTACCGAAATATGTATATTTTGTATAATTGTAATTGTGTGTATTAGTATATTATAGTATTGATATTGTTTATGCTGTGTAATATGAAAAAGAATTTTTAGATATGTAAACATATGATTATATGTTTATAATATATAAAGAAGTGCTCCAAAAAGGGTGTTGCGTGTTCTGAGGAGAGAAAACGTAAGCACGCGGAGCTCATGAGGGGCACATGGGAGAAGAGGAGGCAGATGAAGAGGAAGCATTAAATTCATGATATTCGCGTGGTCTTTAAGGCCTGTTTTTTGGGGGGGGGGATGATTATGTGCTATGTTGAAAAAAAAAAAGGATTGATGAGTATGCTGTCTATCGAGCAACCCTATATAGTAGGGCAGCACTGCTTTAAATAAAGTATTGTAAGGCAGCAAAAAAAGGATTAATTTCAACTTAAGAGATCTATTTACAGGAAAAAATATATACTTATAGAATTTACAGAATACTTTGTGCAAGCAAATGAAATAAAACAATAAGAAAGAGAAAATTTAAACGCAATTAATATTAATATTAATTAAAAAGATACTTTTGGTGATAAATATTCAGGTCATTCATTATTAAAAAAAAAAAATTTTATTTGTGCCAACAATTTGGTTTCAACCCATGTTCAACCCAAACATGTGGGTCATCATCAGGGCTGACAATTTTAAAATACAATCAGAGATATAATGTTATTCGACCGATAATGGTAAATAATAAACTATAGTGATTGATGGTACATGAATCTTAACTATCATTACAATACACAATATTAAAAATGAAATTCTCAATCTGAAAATCAAGTTATCGGCTGGATTTGGATATGCCTTCACCATAAAAATGGCAAAAAAACCCTTTAAGTTTCGGAGGTTGTTTCAGTTTTTAGGGTATAACGCTGAAATGGCGCATCCTATAGAAAAATCACCCTTATCAAAATGAAAGCTAATAAAATTTATGAAAAATTAAACTAGAACCACCTCGCTATCTTTTTTCATTTGGCCGCTAGAGCACATTAAAGATTGACGACAAAATCATCAAATTAGTTCAGTGGAATAGTAGTTGGATGGGGAAAAATTCAAATAGTCTATTTCTCTTCGGTTTATAATTTTTTTTGGAATGTTGAATCTGAATTTGATTTTCCTGAATGAAATTTTACATTGCCTTCCGAGATATATGCAAAAAACAGCGGAATTCCAGCACTTTTTTTTAGTTTTTTTGCCATGACTCCGAAACTATGCATTAATTAAATTATTATTATGTACAAAGTTAAAGAAGATACAATCTACTGTCAATTTCATACATAGCTTTTTGATGTAGGTCCGATGGATGAGAAGTTAGAATACGCTGATTGTTTTCTTATTTTCGAAGAAATATCTCTTTTTGTCGGTTAAACAGCTGTTAAAGCGCACGGAATCGATGACGTATTTCACTCGTGGTATCTGCCACACTCAACAGCACTTTTTATCTTTTTCAATGCTTTTGATTCGGCTAATTTAACTATGTTTATAACAGAACTAGAATGTATAAACAAATGAAATAGCTTTTATATGTTTTGTTGACATGAGGGACATCAACATCCATAACAGAGAGAATCACTTTATTATCATAAAATAAAATAAAATGGTGCTGCCCAATTACATTGGGTTGCTAACAACACAGCATACTTATTAATCACTACAGACATTATTTAAAATTATTATACAATTATAGGATTAACAATATGTATGAGCATAGTATACAATATTTTATACGTATATATATATATTATTATTTTTTTTCTCCTTTTTTTTTATAATTTTTACTATTTCTTTCATTCATTTATTATCATTCTGTACCCTTTCTCTTCCTTCTCTCCCCCTATACATGTTCCCACTCCTCACATTCTCTCCTCTCTCTTTCTAACCTAATACATAAAAAATACATAAAGTACAGTGGACGTGTTCAATAAATAATAATATAAAAAATGCTGTAACACACGCATGCCTCCCCCCGCGAGCAAACTCTCCCCCTATCCGCTCCCATGCACATGGTGGTGGATGATTCCCAGGGAGTCGAGGATTATACTCTCTGCCAACCTTGCCACGTCCTTTATGTCGACACCAAGGCCCTCCATGAAGCTCCTTGTTGAGTCTGGTATCGTTCCGCGAGCTCCGAACCAAAGGCCTCTCACGTGGAACTCTCTCGGCCCGAAACTCTCGCGGAACTTTTCACTAAGGAAAGGGATGCATTTCTCATATGTCTGTTTTTTCTCCCTTTCCACTTTTTCTGCCTGATCGAGGTCGTTGGTCTCATATCTCACGGTCGGATCCAAAATCATCGCCGACTTTCCCGTCTTAGGGAATGCTACAATGTCGGCATATCGGGTGGATCCATCCGTATCTATACAATATACTTCCTCGAAACAGGCGTATTCTCTCTCTTCAAGGAGCCTCATCAGTTCATGCTTGACTCTGTGGTGACGGCGTGTTATAAGGAGGGAGTTGTTGGGGCATTTTCCAAGCACATGTGCTGGTGTTTCTGGCTCTCTGTCGCATTTGCGACAGAGGGACCCAACTTCTCTTACCTGTCCGCTGACACCTGGGACTCCACGCAGGGGAGCATAATTAATATTTAGTTTCAGGGCATTTGACCATTCAGACCCAGAAAGTACTTGCTTATCGTACATGTATTTATTGGCTTTCGGGGTCTCTTTAAAATGGCGAACTCCAATGCCCTGCCACCTGCAATTGGTCCATTCCTCAAACGAATTTTCTCGAAGCGACTGCCGTAGAGCTTTCATATTCCAAATACCCCGATCAACCCCCAATCTCTCGGCACATTCATCAACCTCAGCCGAATAATCAAAGATCGACTGAAAAAGGGCATCGGGCACATTGGACAGTCGCTGAGCAATGGACCAATGTTGTAGAGGAGCCTCCCATTGGCAGCGGATTAATCCTAATCCTCGATACCTCCTGGGAGCGTACAACATCGCCGTGGAGGTGTTCGCATACATAAAAAAATTAAGGATCTAAATGCACTTCAAAATCCTGGTTGTCCAATGACATTTCGTCTACTCGCATATTATGATTCTACATAAGCTTGAATTAAATTGAAAGTGCATCAACATTTTTATTGAGCTGGTTTATAATCGTTAACATATGAAAAGTTGAAAAGCCATTAGAGCACTTTTGGACTTTGAAGCGAATTCGGGTACTTAATTTTGTATTATTATGAATGTTGATGTCTCTTATATTAACTGAATATATAAAAGCAATGTAATTTGTTTGTACATTCTAGTTATATTATAAACATAGTTAAATTAAACTGAATCAAAAGCATTGAAAATATAAAAAGCACAAGTTGAGTGTGGCAGATACTGCGAGTGAAATACGCCTTCGATTCCGTCCGCTTTCTCAACCGCTTAACCATCTCACATATTAACTTTTCTACATGAGGTAAATAGGAAATTAAATGCTCTTTCAAATTGATTTTAAAACTGAAACAGCTTCGGAAATTGTATGGGTTTTTACCATTTTTATGTTGAAGCCATATCCAAATCTAGTCGATAACTCTATTTTCAGAATACACGAGAAAAACTCTTCAGCAATTTTTTTCTGGATCGACAACTTTCTATCACCGAATGATTCGACTGAAAGCGATCTTGGTAAATGTTTTTGGGTTGATTTACCAAAAATCTTTTCAGGTAAAATTCTTGTACCTGTACACATTAGTGTACACATTTGTTAAGCTATTCAATATTATTCTTTTATTTATAATTTTTACCACATTATTTTTCTTAACATTTTTTTTTAATTCATAATATTTGATTTTCAGGTTTAAAACATCATTAGTTTCAAATTGAATCACGTAGCTGACAACTTGAATCATAAATATCAACTTCTGCTGGTTTCGGCAGTACTAGTTAAAAAGTATTCATATTTTCACTTTAAGGTGATGAAAAGATTAAGATTAATCGTTAGTATAACATTTTATTTAATGAATCATTCATTGCTATTTTAAAGCGAATTGCATTTAATATGATTGCTATTAAGAGTTAAGTTTCTGAAGTTGAAAATGTATCCATCTACACTACATACAATATTGTGTTCCCTTAACTGTCTCTGTAATGTTCATATTTTCAAGATTTAATAGAACATCTTAAAAATGTTCGAAAATATTATAAATATATATAAAAATATATTTAACACTTTTAAAAAATTCTTTTTAATGATTTCTTTATACAGTACAATCTTGATAGTCCAACATTTCTTAATCTGACAAATTCGGTAATCCAACTAGTTCATTAGGTCATTGGAAAAACATTTTGACTGGTCATAATAGGGGAAGTGAATGGAGGTGGGGTTATTTTCTTGTCACATGTTTGGCATTTCTAGATTTAAATTTGTAATATTCATAATTTATGGTTATGTTTTATTAATAAAGAGTATCAATGAAGGAAATTTAGCTTTACATTATTTTGGCCTTATATAGAAAGTAGTGGATTAGTTATTAATGAAATTGCTTTGCTTACAATAGATTCCTCCGTTTTTTTCTCCTCTTTCTGCTTGATTTGATTTACCAATTTATGATGGAAAATTTGACATCATTGTTGCATTAATACAGCAAGATATAGAATTTATACTATTTTGGCCCAATATGGAGATTAGTAATGTCGGACTATTGAAGGTGTATTTAACAAGAAATAAATGTAAGATCATCCTACTACCTGTCAAATTTATTGACAATATAGCTTATTCTTAATCTTGCCCTCTTTTGCTGCGGAACTGTATGAAGGAAAAATCTTTTTGTCACCTTAAACATAGGTTTTTGATGTGCTAAATTAAGCATTAATATATCATTCATAATTAATATTCAACAATAGTAAATGTAAAATATTCTTTTAGTTTTTAATTGATTTATTTTATTTTTTTGTAATAATGAGCCTTTCATTTTTGTGTGAATTTTTTTTACTTATTGTAAGGTGCCCCTATCAACACAAGAAAATGCATTATTTTTTTTAAATGATGAATCAATTTTTAATACTTAAACCTACCTCTTATTGATTTAATTTGACTACATAGCCAATATAAAGATATTTCTTTTGACATGTTGGCAATCCTTTATATAATTTTTTTTTTTTAATGCTTTTGACAAATCTGCAATTTATTTTTTAACAATAGAAAATATAAATCTTGAAAATTTAAAAAAATAGTAATTGCACTAATATTGTGAACATTTCCTAAAATAAAGAAAATCAGCTCTTTATTATGTATAATGTTTTAAGATTATAATTTGTTTTCCAAAATAACTATATGCAATAACATCTTATTAAACTAAGTAGTTAAAATTAGGCATAGACTATTCTTCAAGTTATTTTTGTTTTGTTTTTATTTAAAACAATTACATTATTTAGTATCACAATACTTATTATCAACATTATATATGTATCTTTTTAAAGCAATCAATGATTTAAATAATTCATTTGTGGTTCAGAGCTACAAATTTATTCTACAAGAATCTGTATGTAGTTTATTATTTAGCTGTGTTTGGATATGGGTGTATCCATAAATGTTATTTATCTTTGTTTATTTCTTCTATAAATGTATGTGTAAACTATGTATATACTGTATGCAAGAAGTATATTGTTTATTGTATATAGAATGTTTATGTGTATTTTTTTTATTTTTGTGTATGTTACTTTTACTAACTGCTTGGAAAATATTGAATATTCAAAAATAATTGTCAGTATTTTTAAATTTTTTTTTTGTGGATGTTTATCATACTTCACTAATGTTTTTTTCTTCTGATAACTTGATGTTATGATACAAGTTAATAGTTGTTTTCATCATGTCCATAAAACTCTTGAGTTTTATATTTATTCAGATTAGACATAACTCATGTATCAGAATATGTTGCTTTAATACTTAATTTTTTCACTATTACATATTATGTTTATTGATCTGAGTATAGTTGTATGTATTCATTTATGCATTAGTGGGACCATAATGTTATGGATAAGCATACAATTTATGCATATTTGTTCTCTCTGTCTTATATGCTTTTTTTGTGTAGTATTACTCAATATCTGTTAATTAAATTTATAATTATTATAGTTGTGTACCAATCAAGGTTGTCCAACTTTAAGCAATGCGAGATTATGTTCAGTTTTCCTCATGTACAAGAATACATATTTTTATTTAGTAAGGTTATTATGTACAAAAGTAACATCTGTTATATAGTTAAATTATTCTAACCATATTATTTTGTCTAGTGTAGAAAGATATGTGTTTGATTTTATTAATTGCCACCAATAAGTTTTCTCTCTTAATTTGATTGATTGTTTAATTGGGTTGTTGACATTGTGCATGATTATTCCATTATAAAAAAATAATTTGGTGATAATAATTGAAATTATGTCCAATTACAAGTACCTCTAGGGAAAGCAATGAGCAATGACTTCAATAATGTCCCAATTTATAAAATCATGTTGTGATATAGTTACTTGTTTTGTTTATTTATCATTGTTAATTATATTCTGAATTAGTTTAAGATTTATTTTCTCTAAGGAATATGATTATAAACATTAATATCACTACAAAATATTTTTCTTGAACAGTATTTTAAATACACGACTTTGTAACAAAACCTGTACCAATTAAAATGTTATCATAAATGTATATAATATATATGTTTCTAGTCTCAAATTTAAATAATGCATATTGAAATGTTACACGTTAATAAAAATTGATATTTAAACTATTTTATTTTTTTTTATATTTTAGCTTATAAGATGTTTAGAATTGGAAATATTCATGTGTTTGGGTTTTCTTTAAAGAACACTATTCTGAATGAAATATTTTGCATTGTTGGTATATTGGTTAATTAATAAATCAAAGTTAAAAGTTCCCAAACTAAAAAAAAAGCATAATTTTTATTTATTGTATAAATTAAAAACGATATAAATATTTTTCTTCAAAAATAAAATAAACAAAACCAAATAAAATTCTTCTAAAAAATAAATTAATATCAACTTGAATAAAAATAAAGAATATTTACATACATTTTAATTTCTTGGATAATACCTCATTGAGTGATGTTCTTGTGCTAACGTACAACAATAGGCTAACGTAATAAAAATTGTAATAATGTATACAGTAATTTAAAAGATAATCTGTAAATACTAAAAATATAAAAATAAAATCTCAAGAATTATTAAAATATTAATGAAATGAAATATATATATATAAAGCCAAACCTGTAAAGAAGACAAATGAGCAAAAGTAAGTGAAGAAAAAACATAGATTTCTGATTTTTTAAAAAAATTATTTACATCTGTATTACACGACAAATACAACAAGTAAATGTGATATTTGTAACATGAGATGTACAACATGAAGAGAAACTACCCTTCGGTAGAACTCAAATTAAAGTTCTATATTAGAAGGTTCCGAGGCCATTTTCTTTTCAGACGCCTCGGAGGGTTATCAAGAATAGAAGAGGAAGCAACATTGGAAACAAGAGGGTTCGGATGGTTCAGAAGTTTATTATGAAAGGATAGGTATCTGGATTGGGCTAAATCTGAAACATATGGTACATTAAGGTCATTATGGATGATTTTATTTGTGACAAAGTAAGGTGCATTGAGGATTTTGAATTGTAAGGATTGAATACAAGAGGAATTCGATGGTTTATTATATCCTCAAAGCTCGATTCTGTAAGTCCAAATAGGCCTTATTATAGTCATATGTATAAGTCTTTTGGAAGTTTAGAGCATTTGTCTAGTAAGTGCTGGAGTAGTCGAAAACATCGGGCGGTTTCTTGTCATTTCAGTGTGGTATGAGGATTCCAAGTGAGTCGTTTGTCCAGGTGGAGTCCTAGGTATCGGATTTGTTCAACAGGGATAAGTGGGATATTGCTAAAGGATACAGTAGGGCAGAAAGTCATAGGTTTACGACGAAGGGTAAAGGTAATTTGATGGGAATTATTGGAGTTCATTTTAATCCTCCAGTTTTGACACCATTTGAGTTTGGGATGCAATTGATGGATCATTGTTAACTGATAGGATACATGTGTCATCAGCATAGGTGGTGTAGACAGTGTTGGGATTAGTTGGAATGTCAGCTGTATAAACTGTGTAAAAGATAGGACCTAGGATACTACCTTGAGGAACACCAGCAAACTGAGAAAAAAGAGATGGATAGGCATCCTTGTGATTTACTTTGAAGTATCTATCACTAAGGTAGGAACAGATAATGAGGAATGTAGGGTGTAAGAATTTACGGAGTTTGTACATCAGTCCCGGGTGCCAGACTCTATCAAACACCTGTTCAACGTCGAGAAAGGCTCCTGTGCAATACATTCCGCACTCCAATGCATAGGAAACTGCGTCCACCACACGATGACATTGCTGAATAGTGGAATGAGATGTACGGAATCCAAATTGGTGATCTGGGATTATGTGATTAGAATTTAGGATGGGGTTTTCTAGGATTTTGCCCATAATGGGTAAAAGAGAGATAGGACGGTAAGAGGATGGGTATTCTGGCGGCTTTGTGGGTATACGTATCATTTTGACAATGGATAGTTTCCAAGGGTCAGGAAAATATTTGGTTCGGAGTACAGCATTATATAGGGGAGGAATAATACGGCTTTCTGAGGAAGAAATTTTAGAATCTGGGATATGATTAGGTCATGGCCAGGAGCTTTGTGGGAAGGTAATCTGTGTATGATATAGGATATTTCTGAAGGATGAAATTCTTTAGATGGAAGGGTCATTTGGAGTGGGTTATCCAATTCTGCTTCAATACACTGAAGGTGGATTGGATTGAGGATATCTGAGTGCGGATTGTGAATGTTTTAAAGAGGTGCTGAGCAAATATTTGAGATTTTTCTTGGTCAGATCTGGACCAGGTTTGGGTTTCAGTAATAAGTAGGTGGTTAAAATCTTTGAATTTTAAGAGATTTTTAGTGGTCAACCATAGTGATTTTTCAGTAGTAGTAAGTTTTTCTGTCATGTTAAGTAAATTTTGAACTTTGTATTTTCTAATTTCAGCTTTTAGTTGGTTATTTAACTTCTTGTAATATGACTTATCTGATGGGTATTTAGTCCTATGCCACTTCGATCTTGCTTTGCGTTTTTCGCTTAATAAGATACAAATGTGAAGTGGCAAGTTAGTCTGTTGGGAGTTGTTATTTTTATTGGTTTATGTGTTTTCGTCAATTTTGTCACTTATTGATTTAGTAAGTACTTTTATGGCTGAGTCAATGTCATGTTTCACCTTAACTGGAATATTTAGGTCCAATTTATTTTCCAAGTCTAAACGAAAAGTTTACTCGTCCTGTAATTAGTGCAGGAGAAGAGGAGGGCTTAGGAACGAAGGTTGAGTGTAATGAAAGCAGAACTGAGGAGTGGTCATCCTGGGATTTGATAGTGACATAGAAAGAGGAAATCTGGGAGGTGACAAATATCTCCAGGATATCAGGTCGTTTTTAAGGGAGGTTGGCCAATAGATAAGATTCATAGGAGAGAGGATGGAGTAACTATTAAAAGTTGAGACAGAAGATAGTATGTTACCACGGGAGTTGGATGCTCTACAACCCCATCGTTGGTGTTTAGCGTTGTAGTCTCTCCAGCAATGAAGCGCGACCTGAAGGATTGTAATAAGGATTCAAACAGATTGTAGGTAAGAGTATGACCAGGAGGGCAGTATACAGCTGAAAGTGTTAAATAGAAAGGACGAGTTGAAATGATTATCGATGTTGCTTGAATAGCCTCAGATGGAGTAGAAGGAATGAGAGAAAGGGATAAGAATGCATGAACCGGCATGGGAAGTGTTGTCGGGGTGGTCTGATCTATAAGTGATGTAGTCACGTATGTAGAAATATGAACGTGAGTTTTTGTCAGTAGAGCAATATCAATGTGGTTGTCATGAAGAAAAACTTCAAGTTCGTCTCGGTGGTTTTGTAGTCCGTTAGGATTGCATAAAAGAACAGTTAAGGGCTTTGTGCTCATCGTGGGAGATTAAAGGGAACTTCGGTAAGAATTCTTGTAAGGAGGGTGATTAGTGGCTTAATCGTATCTTGGAGATCTTTCAGGAATGAGGCAAATAGGATACAAGGATGGAGTGGATTAATTCGATCGGGTTTTGTTGGTCAGGTGGAATTTGTGAGGGATAGCTCTTATGATAAGGAGTGTCTGATCGATGATGTACCCGTCGTAATGTACGAGAAGCTGAATCATAATTAGATGGAATTAGGGGAGGAGAGTTAATGTGAGGAGTAGGATGGGAATGAACTGCAGTTAGATCTTCAGGTGGCAATTTGACACGTAGAGGTAACCGATAAGGAGAGATTGGCTGACTTGGTGATTCTGAGTGTATGTGGGAGGTCTGGGGCTTAGGTTTTGAAGAACGAGGCGTCTGACGTCGCGGCTGCGGATTCTTTACTGTGGTGTCAGAATATAGCTGCCTGGAGTCCTGATAGGGTTGATTTGTTAATGTATAAGGATATTGTGTAAATCGTGGTGCTATTTCGGTCGGCAATTCAGGAAACGTTGCCAAACTTTGTAGTTCGGGTGCCTGTACTTGGGTTATGTTGTTGGGTTTTTAATATGCTATAAGCCCATTGCTTATATAGCATCTTGTAGACAATACAGCCCCGACTATGGGTTTCTGCTTGGGTTCTTTAAATTTTATTGTAGAATAAAGCTGAATGCAGACAAAACTAAGGCAATCCTCATCGGCTCCAAGCACCTTATTAGTTTCCTTTCTTTCTCTCCTCTACTTTACCTCAATAACCGTTCCTTCCATTTCTTTCCGGCAGTCAAAAACCTCGGAGTGATCTTTGATCAGAACCTCTCTTGGAACAACCACATTTCCCAGATTACCCGTATATCCAGAACTATCCTTAAACAATTGCTTAAATGTTTTCTCCAATAATTGCCGTAAAGAAAATATTTGATCAATAGTCGAACGGTTCCGTCTAAATCCGTATTGGTAGTCTCTGATAATTTCCTCGGCGTATTCTGTGATTCGACTAGTTAAGATTTAAATGAATATTTTATAACATACCGGAAGGAGTAAAATTCTTCAATAGTTATTACAATCCGTCCTCGGACCCTTTTAATAAATCGGAATAAGAATAGATTCTTTCCATTCTTCAGTTCATTTCTCATTTTCCCAGGTCTTTTTAACCAACAGATGTATTTTAGAAACTCCAGCTTCCCCACATGCCTTAATTAGTTCACTAGAAATATTATCGGCAATAAATAGATCAAAAATTTTACTTAATTATTCTTAACATCTAGCTCGAATTGGGTTCTAATTGAAGGATTTTTTAATTTTTCCAAATTAAAATTCTCAAAATCGTAACGGTTTTCTTTTTTCTTTTTTATATTAAGTTTTTGTCGAAGTTTCGCGATTACCAATTCATGATCCGACCCACATTCTGATCCGCGATAAAACTGTACATTAATTATACTGCTTTGCCAGCTATGTTGTATCAAGACATGATCGATTTGATTTCGTATTTGCGAATTCGGTGATGTCCAAGTATATTTATGAATATCCTTATGTTTAAACGTCGTACTTTTTATTATAAGGTTTTTCGAGATGGCAAAGTTTATCAGACGGATCCCATTATCATTACTATATTCGTGCAAACTTTCTTTACCAATCGTCGGAATATAAACGACTTCCCTTCCTACCTTTGCGTTCGCGTCACCTACAATTATTTTCATGTAGTTTCGCGGTAGTTTATCA